GTCTCTCTCTCACCCTTGGCGGTTTGCTTCGTCACACATAAATTGGTGATTCAACACTTAAAAAAGACAATATCGAGGCGTTTCATATTTATGCTTTGAACCTGTGTCCTTCTTTGTATCAAGTCTATCATCTATATGTGAATCGGCTGCAGTAGCCAATTACCAGCCATCTAGACAGTTCGTTTGAGACCCCAATATTATAAAAGGTAGCTCCTTTGTTAGTAATATTATACGAAAGAATATTAATAAAAAAGTCTTTTAGGCTTTGTAAAGTCATTTAGTGGAGCTGAAAAGGATCTAGTTGTGTGGGGGAGTCACCCCTAGGCTAGGGGTCCCCTACATTTTTATTTAAAGCGACTCAAATAATTAGTTTTGTGAGACACGCGGTTCAGTAGCAAGGACATCGAAATGCCGCACCGCGGAATGTAGGTTTCAATCTATTTGTTCAAAGGAGCTCAAATAGACTTTCGTATCGTAACATTTTAAGAAAGTTAAAATACATGTTATTGTTATTGGCGTTCGGTTCTAGATATTCCAGTATTTCTTACACGGTATCCGAGGCCTTAATTAAATAATTTTGCGTTAAACATTGACATCAACGATATGAAAATATAAAGTCATGTATGGTGTAAGCATACTATAGAGACTCTTTCGTGCGTAATATACAAAAGCCCGCCTTTTACGCGACTTTAAAAAAGGAGGTTATCAATTCTAATCTGTGTATTTAAAAAAATATCATTTTTGTGTTTCAATCATGTAACTTAGAGGCTATGTAAGGAAGATCATGAGGCTATCTAAGCAAGATAGCCAAATTAACCATATTTCAACATGTATGTTTTTTTAAATAATTGTAGAGTCGTAAAGGGAAAATTTTGACGGGTTTAAAGTTAATACATGTTTAAGCGATTTTATTTTCAAGTTGGCCATCAAAGAGAAATAAAAGTTCACTTGTCGTTATTAAAACCATGCCAAAAGATAAATACAAGGTAAGATGATGCGTCTTACAGTTTGTTTAGGAATGTAAAAATTTATTCTTTACATTCAATAATTTTAGTTATAAGTTCAAGCAACTAATTCTTTTGTTATTTAAATCATAAATACGAGGTAATATTTATTTCGTATTTATCATGGCTGAAATACTCGATTTCAACGGCCCGCCCCATATAATATCGACACTCGATCATTTAGTTCGGTATTAAAAATATTGACGCTACCTTAATCATTTATTATCAGGCAGGCACCTCGATTCGACACGCTGGGCGGGAAGCGGCGATAAGCGGACGGGAAAAGAATTCAAAAGCGGGACGGGGTCCCTCAAATTATATTATTACCTCGGACTTCTTGTTTGCAGCGCTCTCGGCTCTCGGAATTACAATAACAGAATGAACCACTTAACTTGGAAGCCGCTGCACAATAACATATCGGATATGAATTTGATTGTCAACTGAACCTTTTCTTTGTAAACGTATGTTACTTTGCTTGCAATGCAAAAATACGTCTTACACTCCAATATGTCTTAGTAACATGATGGTTTTATAAACATTTTTTATGATTAACAACTCATCAGACATTACTTGGATGTGTGGCATTTTTCACGTCTTGATAAAAATATATTAGTGCTTCCGTTAAATAAATTCAGGTGTGAAGGGTATGGAAAGCCGATAAATTATAGGTTGTGAGGTTTTAGCCATTATCATGGTCTTCGATTAGCGTTATAACTATATCGTATATAGTGTATCAGATGTCGTTTACCTTTGGCATAAACGAAATGACTATACCGCAATGTTACAGAAGCCACGAGATTTTTCTGGCATTTCTCTTAGTCGCCTCTTACGACATCCACGATACTAAATAAGTTAAGGAGGCAAAGAAACTAATTTTACTGTAATTGGCTTAGCAACTGCGCTACTTCGGCTTAATATAAAAGAGACAAATGTCATAACAATATTTAGCCGAGTAGGTTCTTCGCTTAACTTAAAGTCCATTAAAGATAATAATTATTAATACAAACTAAAATTATGTCCCCCGGTTCTAATTTCATTCACGATGGTCGGCCGGTATATTTGTTATGGATAGGATTATAGTGCACGACTGTGTGCACAAGCACAGGTATAAACGTGGTAGAGCCATGCTGGAGCTATATTAGTAGTATAACTGTAGCACGAATGGGTCGGCTCGACCGGGGAAGGACGACGCTCTCACAGAATACCAGCGTAAAATAGCAGCTTAATGCTGCTGTGTATCGTATGGTGAGTGTAGAAAATCTGAGACCATTTTTACTGGAAATGAGGCATTCCATCTTAGTCCTCACGGGTGACAACGCATCTGCATTTTGATTCTTTGTTGATGATAAATGTACGTGTGTATGGGCCACAGCAACCACTTACCATCAGGTGGACTGCGTGCTCGTTTGTCATTCTATCCAATATAAAAAAAAAACTCTCATAGTCCGATAGGACGGCAATCCGATCCGACCTAAGAGAGATCAGACGCGGAACCCATGGCTTTACGTGCTTTTAGAAACACCACCAACTTCCTAACCACGGGCTATTGCTGATAATTCCTAGATAAAAAAACCCAATAACTGATATTTGGCCCGATGATCAGCAGTCAAACCTAAGACCTTTAGACCAATGAGGCAAAAATAAATAAACAGTGTAGAAACGAGCAGACTAGCGAGCGACGGTTATACAACAATATATTATGTCAAATAGCTTACACAAATATGGAAAAACAAAATAAAACGGACTGATTAGTAATTATGCAAATTGGATTCGGAGCGAGACGTTCAACAAAAATAATATCGGGTGTCTTTATAGACACCTGAAAAAAATTGAAGATCCGCAACAGCCCCCGGCTCTCCCCCGCGGCGTATCAAATAACTTAGCCGCTTTTGTTATGGTAATGCCCCGTTGAAATTATCCGTTCCGCGTATAATCTCCAAAGAAATAAAAAGTTCGCATCGCAACATAAAACCCTGCTTTATTTTCGGCTTCACCTGAAATCCATAATATCTTTAGTTATAAGGTAGGTTTATGTGGATAATAAAGTCAAGAAACTTCTATCATAGATTAACAAAATGCTATAAAGAATGCGTTTGAACTAAAAGGTTTATTTAATCATAATATAAAAATACGAGTGTTTTCATCCAAGCATTCATTACAAACTGCTGAAGTAGTAGGTTATTTTCGTATTGTTTGTTTGTATGTATTTTTATACAGAATGAATGGGTGTAGTTGGTTCAATACCGTGTTTTGTAGCATTCTAGCATTCCTTGGGGAGGCCTATGTTCAGCAATGGACTTGTGAAGGGATGTAATGATGACGATGATGTATTTTTAAAATAAATATTGTGAAATAAGTGTATATACGTGTATATTCAAACCACAAAAAAGAAAATAAATTTTCACCAAGTGACAACAATCGCAAGTAAAAATAATAGTAATTTACCAGAGTTGCCACTCCTGGCAGTCCAGTTATTTGGATGATATGGGGTATTGGGTACTCTTACGCCGGCACTACACGGCAAAATTATACGCCTGCGTCAATAGATGTCAATAAAATATTATTATATTAAAATAAATAAATTTTATTCTTTGACATTTTAAATGTGATTTCGTCATGGTTAAAACTACGTCAAACTCAATCTTTAAGTAAACGTTTACCTATAATATAACAACGACTACAGTTAATTTGATATTTTATGTACCTATTAATGAGTTTAAATGCAATTAAATTTCAATAAATCCCCATAGTGTAATATAAATACATTACCAATTAAAAACATTTATAGTTTTAAGTCGCACTTATAAGATAATATTTTCACCTCTAATGACATTAGGTACTGAGAATGAAATGTTTTGTACCCCTGCCTCGCCACCACAACTCCGGGTAGATCGGAACAAAATTAAATCGAATTTCTAGTCGAACGAGTTGGAGAATCTTGGGGTCCTTTGAGAACGGAATGTCCCTTATACGAGACACGATCAAACGGATTGCCGTGTCGTTCACAAATCTCCTTCTGGAGACATGTTCTTTGACATAAGTTTATAATTATATTTGTTTAGTTCACAAGTAAAAAGCTTATTAATTCTAGTAATACTGCAACTAATTTCCCTAATAATCATGTCACGAATTCAATTCATATTTGATACAAAGCCGTCCATCGTAAAAATATATTTTGTTTTACGATGGACGGGACAATTTTCCATAAAACAACAAATAATAAATAGACTCCAGTTCCACAACTGGTAATTTGAGCACTTACTGTTTACGGATACATAAATATCAGCACCAACACAATAACAATGAATATCAACAACACACTTAACAGACTAAAGATAAGATAGTTCGAAGTTTGATTAATTATTCCATGAAACAGAGTCAATAAAGTAATACGAGCAAGCGTTTAAAACTATACTTATTAGAGGTGTATTTACTTATATTGACATTCAAAATGATTACATAGAATAACAAGTAACACGAAGAAACAATTGGGCCTCTTTCCTATATGAGAGAGCACTTTAACAGATGTAATCAATTGAGGAAAGCATACTTTCATGCTGACGAAGCCAATATTACCTGATTTTTTTTTATAGGACAAGGTAGATAAGCGAGCACACAGTCCACCTGATGGTAAGGGGCTGCTGTGGCTCATAGACATCTACATCTATCCTCGTTTGAGAATCAAAATGCAGATGCGTTGTCAGCCGTGAGGACTAGGATGGAATGCCTCTTTTACAGTAAAAAGGGTCTCCGGTTCTCTACAATCACCACACGAAACACAACAGCATTAATCAGCTATTTTAGGCTGGTATTCTGTGAGAGCGTGGTCCTTCAACGGTCGAGGCGACCCATTCGTTCTAGAACTATACAATAGGTGCAGTATGGCTCTACCACGTACTACAAACTATGCTAATTACTCATACATATAGAATTTCATAACTCTGTTTTATCAAATCTAATCTACCATAGTGTTAATGAGGTGATAGTGGTACTTACATGGCGCCGGGCTGGGTGGCTCCGCACAAATGCCTATTGATTTGCTGGGGTCGTCGAGCAACGTTTGCGCGAGATGGTAGTCGCCGAGCTTGATCTGTATCTGCTGGCTGACACGGTCCCTGTTTCCGGTCACCTGAAACAATATACATTCCTTATTAAGACTCAGCAATTATTCCACCGTGCTGTGGCGGCGCCCTGTTCCTTCTTTCATCCCGTGGGTGGTTTCCGATAGATCGCGACTACGACGATGGTTGAACAATAACAAAACCGAAACAAAAACTTGAACGTTTTGTCCTCTCTCGCTTTGAACTCTATGTTTAAAGATAGAGTATGGTTGAATAATAACAATAATCGTTAGTGAAACACACAGTCTCAAATTATATTTGACGAAACACGAACAAATTGAGAGCTGATAAATATGGTAATATGTAGAAAAACATATAACACAATATATTAACGTAATCGTGCAGTGGCGGTGTAATAATTCACTATCAAATATCGTCCCGCGTATGTCATGAGATGCGGTAGAGGGAAACAAACAAGGAGATAAGCAGTTAGAGTTAGATTAGCTGTCAAAACAAATAATAACTTTTTTGTTAGAATATCTAGAATCTGTAATTAAAAATGACGTCCAATACGTTAGTCAAGTAGAAGAATTTTGTATCAATATTCTATAAGCATTATGCACAGACTATGTCGAAAGACAGATTCATTGAAGTTTCTCATTGCGGGTAACACGCTCTCGGTCTTTACATTAGATATTCACAGTTCACGTGGTGTGTATTCCACGTATGAACATACGTAGACACAATACATAGTCTAGTTAGTGTGACGTAGATAGTGGGTGTGAGAATATAGCATTGCCGTATGACGTAAGACCACAGAATAAATAGGTAATAGTACAAAAGACGTAGAACTCTGTGACTTCATTCATATTATGTTAAACTAGGCGAGATATTTAAAATATAAGATTTGAATTCAACGAAAATTTGAGATCTACCTTCTTTTTACCTTTTTTTAAGTTAAAGTAAGATTCTATTAGTGATATTGATATTGATTATGATATTGCCCTATCGTTGAACTGGCCACTATGAACAGAAATCCAATCATCGCTGATTTGACTAGGATTTCTAATTTAAATATTTTTTTTTTATATTTAAGGCTTATTATTCCTTTTCTAAATCAGTTTTTTATTGTTTTTTTCTGTAATAATGCTAAATTTATAAAACCATGGAGTCTACGAAAATTCGTCACATTTTTGAAAATGTGTAACGACGTAGAACAATGCGTCTCAAGCCGCACGTAATTATTAATCATTATAATCTAAATCTACACTAATAACCGACGAATTGAAGAATTGAATTGTTGAATTGGTTGTAAAAAAATATTTAAGCGCTCCCATACATAACGGCAATTTACTAAATAATATACTAGGTCCATCGGGAACAGGCCTGCCCTTATTCCTCAACATTCCATATTATGGTGCAATTAGTCTACCGCGCTACTCTTTTATGGCATAGGCATCCCGATTTCCTCCCGATGTTTTCCTCCAATATCGATCACGCGGTGAATCAGCACTTAAATTGAAACGAACAGTTTCATTGGTGACGGTGACGATCGAGCCCAGGTTGCTCGCGTACAACTGTGAAATTTGAAAAGCTGAGCCACATTGGCTCTATCTAAGAGTGATATTATGCAAGTCTAATAAACTTGTTTTTCTTATCCGTAAAACGTTATGGGCTATTTATATTTCACCTACGTATAAAACGACTAATTGTCAATAAACAGCGTTAACGATTAAACCCGAAACACATTAAAACATACACGTGTACACGCGAACTAATGGTCGACGTCTGGCGTCCGATGCTTGATGAAGTCTACAGAGCTAAATAACAAACGTTTAATAGAACATTTTACGACATTAGGAAACTTGGATTAGATTTGTATTTGTGAAAATGATCTTTTATTCTTATTACGTTAACACAACATCATATAAACCAACTTGCTTTTATTTCATAGGGAAACGCCTACACAACCTGCCTCTGTGAGGCAAAGGTGGGCTATGTGGGACCATGGTGTTCCACCGAAGCCGCATAAGAACAGAAACGGAAACGACTAATCCGCAGCCCACCCATTTGAAATCTTTACATGTTTAGTTCTCTTTATTTTTATCTTTATTTCACTATCAAAAGATTTCACCACAAAATACCTTCGTTTAAGATAATGAAATAAATAAATACTAGGTGGGAGGACTGCTATTTTGTTTAGGAGTCCATCTGAGTACGTACCACTCTCTTCCTATTTCTGCTGCTAAACAGCAGTTCTTGCGCTGTTGTGTATATAAACAGGCTGTGAGGCATTCATTCATAGAATAGAATAGAATGATTTTTATTCAATATAGATTATTACATAATACTTATTGAAAGTCATTTTTTATTTACCACTGGTTCGGAAAATACCTCTGTTCTGGGAAGAACCAGCAAGAAACCTAGCGGGACCTTTTTTGATACATATTTTACTTAACAATAATTTTGTTTATACAATTTTTAAATGAATTTTCATAGAATCAGCATGGTGGCGATCGCCTTATTCCCAGCGGTTATTTTCCTTCATGTATTCCTTGATATTATAATAACCATTTTTGTACAGTATTTCTTTAATAAACTTGTTTATTGACAAACTCTGAACAAGTTCTGGGATTTTGTTATAAAAGCGTATACATTGCGCCATAAATGAATTACCGATTCTGTGAACTCTACTAACTGACATTACAAGCTTACGTTGGTACCTAGTGTTTAAAGTATGAACATGCTTATTCTTATTAAAGCTATTTATATTTTTATGTACATACATTACATTTTCATGAATATATGGCGATGCCAAAGTTAATATGTTATGCTCTTTTGCAAAACAAATATAGCTTCAATATCAGTGGCATTACCCCATAGCAAAATTCCATAAGACATTAACGCTATGAAAGTGACTCGGAAATATATAGCTATTATATGTTTACTGTGATCTTAGTCTTCAGGCGTGACAACTCAACTGTAGCCTTCTTGTCTGAAGTTGGCTGCAGGTGTCCATGGACTGCAGCGGCCACTTACGATCAGGTGAACTGTAAATTCGTCTTATCATCTATGAACATTTATCGTCACCACATATACACAAATTGTACACACTTTTCGATACTCGTTAGTTTTAATAGTCGGTATAGATGAAATACCTAATGTTTGTTAAAGTATTAATCTATAATTTATGTACCTCGTCATATCGAGGGTAATAGCTGTAAATCAGTGTTGGCTCACTATGAGCCGAGCAATATTAATCGTTGAGCTAGGACCCATTTGTTTAACTGTAACACACAAGTACTTTTAGATCTCTATATTATGTAAATTATTTGTAAGTTTCCTTACTGAATATACTTACGAGTGATTGAAAAAATCGTTAATCTATCTATCACGTTAGCTTAAGGTATAAAGAATAGACTATAATGGAATCAGTTTTATACAATATAGATTACATGAATTTATTTAATGGTGGTGATGTAAGAATATCCGCTACCCCATATCATTGCATGGGTGTCGTTAGAAGCGACAAAAGGAAACTAATCGGGAGATGGGCAGCTGTGTCTTCCTAATAGCGACTAAAATAAAAACTGCGGTTGTCAACCCCCTTGCCAAGCGTTGCAACTTGGCAAATATCCCCCCTAGGAGACAATCTATGGGGGAGGCCTATGTGCAGCAGAGTAACTTTAATAGACTGTAACGGTAACGGTATAGATTACATTTACCAAGCATACTTATTGAAAGACGTTGAAGCTTCTCCACTGGTTCGGAAGAAAAACCTATTGTCCTGGGAAGAAAAGAATTTCCCTTATCCATTAATTTGATTCTCGCTAGCTTCTTTTTCCTTAACACAATGTGCATAAAGCGTACTTTATTTAATATATATATAATATGGCAGTCCGTACTCTCTGCCTACCCCTCTGGGTGAAAGGCGTGTGTGCGTGTGCGTGTGCGTGTGCGTGTGCGCGGGCGTGTGCGCGTGCGCGTGCGTGTGCGCGTGCGTGTGCGCGTGCGTGTGCGCGTGCGTGTGCGCGTGCGTGTGCGTGTGCGCGTGTGCGTGCGCATGCGCGTGCGCGTGCGCGTGCGCGTGTGCGTGTGTGTGTGTGTGTGTGTGTGTGTGTGTGTGTGTGTGTGTGTGTGTGTGTGTGTGTGTGAGTGTGAGTGTGTGCGTGTGTGTGTGTGTATACATAATTACTTGATACGCGATCGATAACACATCGCGTGTATAGTAAGTAATTCATAAATATTAAATATTCTTAAATAACTGAATACATCCTGTACACGTTCCACTATTGGGTCAAACTTCCACTGATTTCTGAAAGTATATTCAATGTTGCAAACTTATTAATATATTTCATTTATCAGGCATGTTATCAATGGGTACGTATTATTTTAAGTATGTAGTAACTATTGTTGTATTTGATCTTACAAAATTGTATATCTGCGGAGTTCCTTCATCGAGCAGAAGTACCACAGTTTTTAACGTTTATAGGTTAAAAATTTAAGTTTTAGTTAAAAATTTAATAGCTTAAATTTAAGTCGAAGACGCTCTTGTGTTGACAACGTAAGAGAATCCATCATTCCATATCATCCCGTAGGAATAGGAGTCGTAAGAGATGACTATGGAAAACGTAGAAAAGATCGCATAGCTTCATATAAATGGCGGTGAAAACAATCCCGTCAGGCCAGATGTGAACAATTCATAAATACATGCTAAATCAGCAGATAAAACTGATTTTGTTACGTAACCAGAATACCAAATGATTTAATAATATTGTTAAAGAATGCACACGCTGAAAAATTTTATATTTTCAAATATCAGCTTAAAATATCGTGAAAATTGAACTCGAAATTTCGCATGGCATACGCCACCCGGTTACATATAACACAAGTTTCAGAAATAGAATATTTGAATACAGAAATACATTAAAATATACAAAATCCGGCATAAAATTATTTGTGGAGAATGTAAGCAATTTTTTTTGATTACTTCCACTTTTTTTGATTATTTCAACTTACGAGAATTTTGGTATCTTAATTTATAAAATAAAATAGTAAATTAATTTGT